TACTGCTAGATGGGTTTAATTAAAGTAAAAACGTGTTCAAAGGATTTTCGATTGAGGACATTAGTTTTTAATTATATCATGAATTTATAAATACGTATGACTCAGTCTGATATCGTTACATGGGAACCATAGTTGACTATGATCTGGAATGACCAAAAATTTTATTTGCTTTTCAATGGTATAGACCATGGTTATATTTTAACTGCGAGTATAATTCACAACCAAAATGTGTCAAGTGAAAGGTCATTTTTCAAAATTACAAATACTTACGAAGATACTGTTTTTTTATGTCCGTCCAGGCACATGCACGTTTTGAGAACTGCTGTCATCAAGTAAGGTAATCAAAACTCTGTGCGTTGCTGGTTGCCAAATCGATTTAGAGTTCGGAAGGCGTGGCTCCTAACAGAACCGTACTTAGCTCACTATCTCAGTTACCTATAATTTCAGTCCCTTGCTAAACTAAACAAATAAAGACCTAGTATTTTTTTATAAACCTTAAAAATGCACAAATTTGGAAATTGTATTTTTTTAGGGGCCAATTGTAGACAAATTGTAGGTATTCTTGATTTTTTACTCGAAGTCTAATAATACCACGTTGTTCTAAACTATCTTAATTTCCAATATTTATCAAAATGCATTAATACAAACATTTACATATATTATTTATATAATTAAAATTAAAATGGAGCAACTTCTACTACATTTGAATTTATTACAATCAATTTATCATTTAATTCATTTAATTTCTGTTGAATTAATGCTGAACAAAGAGGAACATTTTTGCACGAACGATTTACATTTTTCTTTGTAAAATTAATTCGTAATGATTGCAGCAAATTACAATTTCCAAAATGTTAGAGTGACAATTATCTGGGAACAAGTCACTATTAAGTGTTAAACATTGAAACACTTCAGAAAACTTATAAAAACTCGTAGTGATGTTATTACTTATATTCTTAACTTTTAAGAACCACACGTACCCCCGAATTCTACAGTCATTGTTTCTCGAACAGAAGGGGTAAGACGATGTTGACGATTTGACGTATTTGTGTCGATTTGTTATTTTCACGGACGCTGTTTTTCTTTTAAATGCCTTTAAGTATTGGAGAAATATTTTCAGTGAACTATGGTGTATTTAAGTGAAATATGTAGGTTTACATCAATAGAGAAATAGTAATGGTGTTTTTTCTGTGCAATAAATGTGCACATGCGTCAAAAATGTTGTACTTGGATTGGTGCGAAAATCAAAGACATGCTCCGAACGTGGAGGATTAGTTAATAAATGCGGTACAAATCAAGGGGTGAAGCATCTACACATTTGGTGTAGATATCAAGGAAATGTGGCTAAGTAAACACGTAAAAAAATAAAAAAAACTCAATATTTATGTACATAGAAATAGTCAAATTGTGAAGATAACAGTGACGGTTGAAGAAAATAATACTCATAATGTTTTTTTAGGGGATGATTTCTAGACTTACACGAAGAACTTTCGTGATGTACAAATTTCGAAGGAAATTTGCGAAATAAAAAGTTAAAATATGCGTGAACAAGTGTTTTCTTGAAAATAAATAAATTATCCAAAAAATAAAAGAATACCTGATCGTATTTGTCAGTTCATTATGAAAAAAATATATATTTTGTGAATATATGCATATACGATCATTTCGAGACCTCGGCAACGACCAACTCTGTTTTTAATTTTTTCTTCGCAAATTTCAAATTCCGTTCCAAATATTTTCAAAACTAAAATTCTCAATGTGCGTGCGTGTAGAAAAATTGAATTGAAAATTTTTTCTTCCTATTTTATTCAAAAAGTTAGAAGAAGTCAGCGTGACACCGGCATAACTGATATACTTTATGCGTAAATGATAAAGTGATGTTAACAGTTCTCAACAATTTTTATAAAAAAAAAATTGTACGCATTTATTTTAAATTGTCTAAACTCTTTTGTTTCTATTTTCTCAAAGAAACAGTAATTACGTATAAAATATTTTTAATTTTGATAGAAATGGTTGGCAGCAAAAATTTACTTCTAGGATGCCACAAATGTCGTAAAACTTTCCTTTTTTTAATTAGAAGTTCAGTTTTGCGTCAAATGAATTTAGAGGAACTGAGTATGATTTTACTAGTCCGACAAAAAAGAAAAGATCATAAAAAATATTTGTCCGTTTAGATTTAGATCATACTCAACTACAATTCCCAATTAAGTAATAAAAAATTGCTAAAAAGATAATGTCACTAGTTAACTTTAATTCTTCGGCAGGCAGAAATACAAAAATGATAAAATAATTCATGAAAATGAATGTACGATTGAGGACCAAAAATAATTCGCTGCGCGCGCTATTCGTATAGTTCGGGCTTCTCCCGCTAGATGGGGCTTACGAAACCCCTCCTGAGTCCTGTCCTGAGATCTGAGATCTGAGTCAGTTTCCCAAGTGGCGTCGCTTGAGACGGTTGTAGCGAGCTTCTGGATAAGTTTTCGTACGTATTTTGAAAAATCGAAGAGGTCGAAATAGTCGTCGATCAAAAACTGTCTCAGGGGCTCGCTATAACCGTCTCAAGCGACGCCACTTGGCAGACTGACTCAGCGGCTGTTATTTTTAGAATCCCCCTCGTATATGGTAAAAAAAAATAATTTTCTCAAAAAAAACGCAACTCTCGAAATTTTCAACGATACAGTGATCCTCAAAATAATACCAAAACCCGATTTTTTTCTAACCACATTCTGCACATTCAAAATGGACAATGTTTGATGATAATTCCACTTCTCTGATATATTTTAATTCACGTTCATATATTTAAACACTTTTTCTTCTAGGAGGAACATTTTGCAATTATTACATAATAACCAGCTGGTATAAATATCTTAGTTAAATAAATATACGATTTTAGCATATGTTTAAAAAACCTACACAGTGACTGTAGGTTCGTTTAAATGAAAATTAGAAAACTTCTAATTATAACCAAGCACGAGGCTGTTACGGGCGTGGTAAAAGCGTTCATTTTAAAATTCGATTATACAGGACAACCAGAATCCTTCCAAAACTTTTTCGTATTAATTAACTCGGGATAATGGCCATGCCAAATATTTAACATCGGAGAAATATACAGAGCAATAAAGCAGTCACGCTGTAATGATCGCGTATAAATAGTCATGTTAATATTTCAGCAGATACGGCACGGTTTTGATTTTAATGTTCAAACACGAATTAAAGCAAGGATTAATGGCGGAAACTAACAAATTATTATTGCCGAGTTATTTCACGCTTGTGATTATTCTTAATTTTCGAGGAAATGTACTTAAAAGCAGAAACATGTGGCCCAATGTCGATACTTTGAGGGGTTTTTCGGTTTTTCCTATTTCTTGAAATAGATACAAGATGCTTTGGTTTCACGAAATTTCAATTAGTATTTGTTAACCATATTTTTATGCAACATGTTTGTATATCGAGAAATTTATAGGATTAGTTAAAAAAAAATAAAGATAATATTTACTCTTTAGTACAAAGTTAACGACTATATGTATTCACTTGTAAAATATGAAATATAGTTCAGAATGTTTACCATCGACCAAGTACATTTTCTCAGCATTTTTCTAATTAATTAATTAATTAATTAATAGCAAATTATAAAACCAAGTTTTATTAACATAATCATAAATGTGTCATTCCTTGTGCTTTATTGTATACTTATTCAAATAGTAACTAGTTTCAGTTTGTTAACAAATTAAAGATTTACATCAGTCTAACAATTTGAACTTTTTTTTAATGTACAGGGTGATTAAGTCATAATGTGATAAATTTTTCGGAAGGACTAATAAATACAGAAAATCGATTTTTTTTTAATAAACAAAATACCCTTTAACTCCCGTTAATTCGGCGCCCTGCTTCGCAACAGGGAACGCAGTGAAACAGCTGATTTCCCTAATCGTATTGGATCCGCCATGTTGTATATTGCAATTCTGAATTCAAATTTGTGATTAGCGAACCTAAAAACCCCTACATACCAAATTTTTCATGATTCTATTCATTTCTTGCAAACCTCGATTTCTGGCCGATTTTTCTGAAGTTAGAAAAAAGAGTTAGTTAGAGGTGTACTGTATGATATCTAAAGGTGGATTTGGATTCAGCGAGCCCAATTACATATAGAAATGCTAAGAAATGTGAAAAATAATTTTTTTGTTGTTTTTTCTCAAACTTTTTCGTCCATTTTCGCTATTTTTGACCTATTTTTTAAGATTAGAAAAAAATATGACGTGTTACCGTGTCAAAATACTATAGGATATACAGGATGTTTTTAAATTAAGTAGCAAAAATGATACCATTGAATGTAGAGCCAAAAATAAGAGGATTGAAGTGAAGAGGACCAGCTTATTGGCAGAAAATGTCAGTTTATTAATATGATAAATAACAATTTATTTGTTATGACATCCGCCTACTTTATTTTTACAAATTTTCGCAATTACCCCTTTAGTGAACGACGACGCATCTGATTTTTTTACTAGAAAACTATCGGTTTTATCGAAAAATTACAAGAGGTAAAAAAGTTGCGCAATAAATCAGTCTTCTCAATAAATATTTTTAAATAAATAATTTGCATCGTATAAAAAATTTCTAATAAAATAGTATTGCAATGGGGTTGACTGTTTCACTCCTTTATAAAATACGCCAATGATCGAACAAATATTGAAAAGTTGTCTGTCTCTTTATTAGTAGGATGCTCATACCAACTTTCGTGTCTCTAGTATTCCTCATGTTAAAGAAAAAAAATAAAATATGAATTTCAATCCCCTCCTTTAAGACGGTATATCGCCTCAGTGCAACTTTCATATAAGGTATTTTTACTTCAATCCTCTTTTTTTTAGGGTCTACATTCACTGGTACCATTTTTGCTACATCATTTAAAAACACCCTGTATATGTTTGGTGAAAACCATATGACACTTTTTCTTTCTTATCTGGCTGTGTTATTTTTCTTGACAGTTTTCGTTGCTTTTTTAGGACGATGACAGAAGAAGAGGAGGCATAACCCTTTCCAGATACCAAGAACTCTACGCCGAATTTCTGGGTAACCCAGAAGAGACCCCTGCGGTATACCTTTTCGGCCCCCTCTCAGAATTCTTCTACAACGACGATCTAGACATTTAGCGCCATCTCTTTGTGAAAGTCTGACTAATTATTACATGTGTATCGTACCTTAAATGTATTAAACAAGTGTGCGCTTCTCTTATGTGTCATGCCGTCACTTGTTTTGTACCGATAAGATTTGTTTTATGTTGTATGTGTTAAACGTTGTTGCATTTTATAATTTTTTAATAATGATAGTTATTTTACAAATGGTTCTTTCTTATTTACCATTCCCGATGATATAATTTTTTTATTAAATACTTTTTTTATTAGAAACTTCTGAAAATTGAAAAAGCTGCCATAAAAGGTAATAGAAGAAAAAAATTCTAGCAGCACACAAAGTGTTAGTGTTAAAACTATAATTAACACTTTTATGATTAATATTTTATGGGCATTAGTTAGTATTTCTAGTATTGGAGTTTATTGAAAAAATTTACGAGATCTTTTCTTAATTTATTTGTAACATTACTAAACAAATTGCAAATTGCGACGGTCGATCTGCAAATTTAAAGATTGTTTGAATATCTGTTACTTATTATGAAACCAAATAGGTACGTTCCCAAAAAAAATTAACAATTAGATATTAAAAAAAACTGTAAACTTTATATTAAAACTATAAATCAATGGCGTGACCCTTGTACATCATATGTATGCACATAAAAAGGCTCTTATATTAATTTTAACTCAAAATTCGAATGCCAATCTTTTAACCGCAAGAGTTGGCACCGTTACTTCTCAAATTTATTATTTTAAATGAAGTGTCACTTTAGATTTATCACGTATTTGAGAAATAACACTTTCAAAGCATCCGTTAATCAATTTTGGCACAGAATAGAAAAGTGTTGCGGGTATGTACTTTCGCATTGCGTTTAACGAACCTTTTTTTAGAATCTAAGGGTCAAACACCTGACCATGCTGTAAATAAAAAATTATACCACTTCACTTGAAATAAAATATATTTTTGACTGCAGGAAATTAAATGTAACGCTCAGAGGAAAATGATTTTAGTTACGAGTTTTGAAAGCACTTTATCTGTCAGTTTAAAATTTTACGGGTTTTAACATCGTTTGATTTTCAAAGTTGCAAATGTTGTCAAAATAAGAGAATAATAATTGCAGAGACTGAAATTGCTTGAAAGCAAAAAAATATTTTAAAGAATGTTTGTGTTGATACTACTGTGAGTTTAGAATTTAGAAATTTGTTGCATTATATATAAATTATATCGAGGAATGATTTATTCATAATTATACACGGAGTTTGCACTATCGCATAGTGAGATTATTAAAATGACGCTAATATGAGATGAAAATACACCTATAGGTCTTTTGAAAACATTGAAAACATACGAACTAGCTTGGCGAGGAGGTAAGGCAGCAAATTGTAATTATTAATGACTAGCTTGTCCAGTGGTGTAGCCAGGGGGCGCTGGCCCATGGCTTCATAAGCGCGGTTTGTGAAAATCCTGAAAATATATTTCCAGATCAATAGGAAACATCTTTTGGCTATTATAGTTTTTTTTTTAAATATATTTTTCACTTATTACACTCAAACTTATTTTCTGGCTGCACTACTGAGCTTGTCTGTGGAGTTATTCTTCAACATATAGCATGATATTTGTTGTGCTTATATGATTAAAACACTTAGAATTAATTTGATTTATCAAATAACAGAAAATTCTCATTGTGGGGACATTTGAATGAAAACAAAGACTCACTAACACCTATTTATTTATTTTACACATTATTTTAATAAATATATGATTTGTTTGAAGGTTTTGATAGAATTCGCAGTCGGTATGATCATACATTTGTTTATATTTAATATAATCAGTAAACTATGACTAAGTGATATTACCATATGTTTCTACTAGACTACAGAAGGTACCTTGGAGCATAGCGTTTGTCGTCAATGTAAAGACTGTCATAAAAAAATAAATGTTTCTTCCTCTATCCACATTTAGTGTAGCTTTTCCTTGATAGAAGTGACCACAGACAACATGTTATGGAATCTGAAAGAGAAAAATATGTTTAGCTTTTTATAAAAATGAGATTTTTTCATGCGTAACAACCACCAATTGTTACATATTTACAACGCTATTGTTCTGGTGCATATACGTTATTTTTATTTTAGTATTGGCAAAGTTATCATCAACAAGTGTTTAGTAACGCATAAAAATGATTGGCAACAACTGCACTCGCTGTTTTGCCAAATTTTAATTATGAGGAATTATAAGTGTCGAAAATTTACTTACAAAGCTTTTAAACTCTTGTTTACAGTTTATTTCAAATAATAATTAATGATAAAAAATATTGTTTACCTGAATCTGTTAGCTTTGGAAGAGTTGACGAAAATCTGCCCTACTAAGAAAGCAGCTAGAATGATTTTGGCGGTATTAATCCATGTGTATGCATCATTATTATTAATATTCCTTTCTAAACCTAGAGCTGGTGTTTCTGTATTCCTCACGGAGTCCCTTGTTGTCCTTTGAGAAACAATTTTTTCGAAATATCGTCTAGAGTCTGCCGTAAGTGGATTGTACCTGTCAGTAATTTCTCTCCTGGAATTTTCTTTAATATCCCTAGCGGAATTTGTTCTATGGGTTAGCCGAATATCCCTGGAGTTAATATTGTCTTGGATGTATCTAGTGGAGTCACTTCTAGATAACTGACGGTTATCGATCAAACGATTTTCTCTTGAAAAGTTACGAGTTTCGGAAGCTCTTCGTTCAGCAGTTTTTCCTTCACGTCTTTGCAAAGAAATTCTGTCTTCGGAAGTTCTTTGTAGACGATCGGTAGTTTTGATTGTGTTCGAGAGACGGTCCTGTCTTTCAGAGAACCTTTGGTCACGACGTTCAAGGTTGAACTGTCGAGTTTCTCTTTGAGATTGGTCTCGTGTGCGATCTTCCCTTGCAGACCGATCGGTTAATTTGCGATTGTTTTGGATTTCCAAACGATCTGTAGGATGAGTTACACGGCGATCTTGATTTGTAATAGTACGTCTTTGGAGGGGACTTACTCTAGAATTCACCCTTTCCAAGCGTTTTGGAGATGATCGTCTTTGGTCTATGTTGCGAATCTCAGAGGTTTTGCTGTCACGATTTTCTACAGAACGTGTCTTCAAGAGATTTTCTCTAGAATTCATCCTTTCTAAATTACCAGTAGCAGTAGATGAACGCATTTGATCGATGTTACGTTCTTCAGAAAACGATCGCCTTTGGTCAACGTTGCGTATTTCAGAATCTCTTCGAACACGATTTTCTACGAAACGCCTTTCAAAAGATTTTTCTCTAGAGTCTATCCTTTCTAAAAGTTCTGTAGATGATCGCATTTGGTAAATTTTTCGTTGTTCGGATGAACGCCTTCTATCTACGTTGCGAATCTCAGATGTTCTGCTGTCACGATTTTCTACAGAGCGTGTCTTCAAGGGATTTTCTCTAGAATCGATCCTTTCCAAACGTCCAGTAGATGAACGTATTTGGTCAATGTTACGTTCTTCAGGAAATGATCGCCTTTGGTCAACGTTGCGGATTTCAGAATCTCTTCGAACACGATTTTCTACGAAGCGCCTTTCAAAAGGTTTTTCTCTAGAGTCCATCCTTTCTAAACGTTCTGTAGATGATCGCATTTGGTTAATTTTTCGTTGTTCGGATGATCGCCTACTGTCTACGTTGCGAATCTCAGATATTCTGCTGTCACGATTTTCTACAGAACGTGTCTCCAAGAGGATTTCTCTAGAATCCATCCTTTCTAAATTACCAGTAGATGGACGCATTTGATCGATGTTACGTTCTTCAGAAAACGATCGCCTTTGGTCAACGTTGCGTATTTCAGAATCTCTTCGAACACGATTTTCTACGAAACGCCTTTCAAAAGATTTTTCTCTAGAGTCTATCCTTTCTAAAAGTTCTGTAGATGATCGCATTTGGTAAATTTTTCGTTGTTCGGATGAACGCCTTCTGTCTACGTTGCGAATCTCAGATGTTCTGCTGTCACGATTTTCTACAGAGCGTGTCTTCAAGGGATTTTCTCTAGAATTCATCCTTTCTAAATTACCAGTAGCAGTAGATGAACGCATTTGATCGATGTTACGTTCTTCAGAAAACGATCGCCTTTGGTCAACGTTGCGTATTTCAGAATCTCTTCGAACACGATTTTCTACGAAACGCCTTTCAAAAGATTTTTGTCTAGAATCCATCATTTCTAAGCGTTCTGTAGAAGATCGCCTTTGGTCTACGTTGCGAATATCAGAGGTTCTGCTAGCACGGTTTTCTACAGAGCGTCTTTCCATAGAGTTTTCTCTAGAGACTATCCTCTCTGAGCCTTCAGTAAATAGTCTTTGGTTTAAGTTTCGTTCATCAGAAGCTTTTCGATCTTGCACAGAGCGAACAGATCGGCGAATTTCAGTAGATCGACGGTTTTCAACCAACCTGTCAGATGGTCGTTCTGCGACTTCTCTGTTATTTAGTTGAGGCAGCCCTGTTATTCTTCGAGCTTGTACTTGCCTGTCACGAACTTCACGACGTTCGTTTACAGTTTCTTCTTGTATTCTTTGGATACTGCTAGATCTTGATTCAGTAGCCATTCTTCTTTGATTGATGCGCCGATCTAAGTCTTCAATTTTCGAGTTTCTTCGGTCACGGATATCAGAAGACCTTTCTAGTGATCTCTCATCGTATTGCCTATTTCTGGATATCACAGCTCTGTCACCAGATCGACGATCTTCTAGTTGCCTTTGGCGGTTGTCTTTGGCAATGGTAGATTCAAATGATCGTCTGTTGTCTCTAGTATTTTGGATGTGTGTATTTCTAGTAAAAAATTCACGGTTGTTATTATAGTCTGTTCTTACGTCTACTACTGACCGCTGTAGTCGTCCAACGGACCTTTCCCTGTTCTGGATATTGTCAGGTCCTTCAATGGTTCCAGTCCGGAAGCTGCGGCGGTCGTAGAGGCGTTCTGCATTTCCGTCTTTTTCGTTGATTACTCTGTCGATTCCGACTCTCCTAATGGGCATGTTTTGGGATTGTTGCAGATCCATGGAATAGCGGTTTTGGATCTTCCGTGACACTTCATATTCGTTTTGGGTTTCTCGGAAAAAGCCACATACGTTGGTCGTCAAAAATAGTAAGAGGAGTATAACGGACTTACTGGGTGGTATTTTCTTATACTGTATCATGTTGGAAGGAAAATAATATACTATTTATGTGTTCTTAATGCCTTGTATGGTTTACTTGGTGTACTTGAATGTTACTCGATGGAATTCGGTGACTTTCTGAGATGTTCCTCGAAGAGCTCCGTATTTATACTCGCCAGAGGGTCATTTCGTGCTTGGTTGGGCTTCAATTCGTTTAGAAGCAATTTGTAGCAAACTGTGTGTGGTCTAATTTAAATTTAAGTCTAACGGATAGGTTCCCATTGTCGTTTATTGCGTTATTTTCTACACTGTTAAAAATTTTGTGCTCCACTACAATATATTTATATAATAGTAATATACCTATATTGAAAATATTGCACGTAAAAATTAACAGACCATAATGAGTTCGTTGATATTCTTACCATTATTGATTTCTAACAAGGACAGGGAATGAATAAACAATAAGTCTCCAGTGTCGTGTACAGGGGTATCGCATAACATTTTACCCACCTTATCGGTTTTGCCTATCTATGAAAATATGTTTAAATGAAACACCCTGTATGTTTGGATTACTCTCTTTTTTCTGATTACATTGTCAAATTTGTCTTGGAACCAGTGCAAGGGTATGTTTTCTTCTCTTCAATTTGCTAAGCACATTTCTCTATTTCATCCCGTTATACTCTAAACGGTCTGTACAATGCTCCACCAGTCGTTTCGACGTTACTATACCCTTCATTGGCCATTTTGTGGAAAAAATACTATTGCTACTACTAAGGAACTCGCACAAGAAAAGTAAAAACCTATTTTGAAATTTTCAAACATTACAAGAGACATTTATGACAGATGTTGTCATTTAATTACATTGTTTCAAGGCAATTGCAGAGGTGATTTTATTTTTGGTTGGCTTTTGTCGCTTCATCAATGAACAGAGAGTACAGATATGTTTTTCCATTGAAAAACATATCTTCGAAGACAGGTCAATAATAAATTAGTTATTTTTTAGATTTTTAGATCGTTTATATTGGTTACATTGTTTAGATTGTGTTAGATTGATTAGATCGTTTTTAGAAAGTGTTTTTGCAGTAAAATTGTTAAATAAACAAAATTTAAAATTGTAATTGCACTGTTTCCTTTAAATGCTTTATTTTGTTTATCAGTGTAGTTGAAAATATAACATTTAAACAAATTTTTTTATGAATTTACAAATTTAAATGCCTTTTTGTTGAAAAAGGTTGGCTTTAGAGATATTAGCAAGGTATACCTCTTTTAAGCAGAAAAGATGAGGGAAAATATTTTTCCCGCCCAAAATGAAATACACCGTACCACAAAAAAGTTTTGGTAGTTTAAATGCGTCCTAATGGTCGCTTGTGGCGCCCTCTAGAAGAAACAAAGAAATCGTCTATAAATTCGAATTTCTCATTCCAACAAACACCCGGATACGAAACTTCACAAAATTAGCTCAAAGTAGTTAAAAAATATTAAAGAAACTTAACTTTGATACCCTGCAGCTCCGTTATTATCAATTTTTGGAACTAAGGCATGTTTAGTTAAATCGATTTATTTTGAGTCGTACTATATCTGATGGAGCATTGTACAGGCCCTTTAGAGACACCCTGTATAGACTAGTGACATATTCCAAGCAACTTTTTTTTATTATTTCCTTCATTGATAGTTCCAGCTTAGTTGAATATTTGTACAAATTGGATTGTATAAATGGTCAGATCTCTTTTGTTTGCATTGCTTTCAGAATCCCCCATAGAAAAAAACACGCAAAAGTCAAATTGGAACTTTTTTCACAAAATTATACCCTCATTAAAAAAACTTTAAATATCATTTATTTAGAACACCATTTATTATTATACTGTTATTGGGTTGCAATGTTACACCCAGTATATTACTGTGAAAAGCAGATCCACAGAATAATAGTTTTCTATTCTGGGGCAGAACGTCACTAGAAACTTTAAAAAATATTAATACCTAATAATTAATGGAAAAAATACATATGAAAGTCATCTCATATAAATTTTATTAAAAAAAACTAGTAAAAACAATTTATAACAACTCCATATAAGCAATTTGAAGTATTAATACATATATTAAGGGCGCCTCTGCTGAGATTTGGGGCCACCACTGTCCTACCCCACCGATAACAAGCGTGGACACAATGAGATTACCGAGCAATAAATTCAAGTTCCAGGAATATATGCCATGCCAGGGTAATCGAGTAATCTATTCCTTTACATCCATTTCAGGAGTTTAATAGAAACCCACTGACACATATGGTTATCGAGTGGAGTGCAGGCAGATTCAATAATGGAAGGGCTTATCATTGGTTTGCCAAGCTAGCCAACTTAGGTGAAAATCACTTACCGATCCTGTTTCGGTATAAATGGATGATACACTGTTAGAAATATCGTTGTAAGGTTATAACCTTTATTTTTAATTTATTAGAATACCTACAATAAATATTCTACTAAAAAATTTAAAAGTAAAAATATACGGAAGTGATAAATAGGATAATGTAACAGTTTTAATAGAAACTGAGTTTCTAGTTAAAATTTTTAAAACTTATACCTACTGAAAATTTGCGAGAGTATGTCTGACAAATTAGGGAACTATGTTTGAAAAGATATTGACCTAAATATAGTTTTATCTTTATCTTTAACTAGGACAAATGTAAATTTAGAATTATTTTTGTATAATAAATATTATCTTTGAAATATGTCCGCTTTCTAACTTAGGTACAATAAACAAATTTGTAATACGCGCTATTGATTATTTTGTTTTAGTTTATTCAAGCCAACATGAGGGCGCTGGTATCCACTGATCTCTGGAGAACTGTCATCAAAAGTTATGAAATGTATACATGTTTTGTTGCCTGTTATGTTTTGTGTTTCTCAATTATCTGCTATTCTCTAAAAGTTTTGAAATAATTAAGAAAAAACTGTTCTTTTTGAAAACTATTAATCTGATTTCAGTATTATTTGAAACTTAGAGCCTTATTTTGCTTAGTTATCCACATATTGCTAACAAAATAAAGCACATCATTGAAATTTAAACTTTAAAATGTAAGTAGAAAAAGTAGTTTTTCTTTTATTTCCTTTCTAAATTTCCTCTGTTTTTAACACTTCTAAGTATCTAATAAACACATAATTTAATTTATAAAAGTTTATACACGCTCAAAATTACAAAATAACATACGAAGAATTTTATTCTATTCTAGTATTTTTATGCTTTAGGGCAGATAAATTGGTAAAGTGTCCATTCAACCCTTCACATGTTTTAACAGAAGACTCTTTGCAACGCCACATAATACGCTGCATGGTGAACTATCCCTCTTATGTGATTTGTCCTTATAATGCACTCCATCGTTTCAAGAACAAAGATTTGTTATGTGACCACATGTTGGAATGCGAGTCAAGAGAAAAGAACATCCTATTTTATGAGAGTAGTGAAGTAAAACCGCTAGAAACTTGTATTCATATACAAGGTATCAGGGATTTTAATTTGGCAGAAGAAAATTGGGACGAAGAATAACAATTTTTTGTAACGCACGTGTTTAATAATTGGAATAAGCCAAAATAAATTGCATATTTTTTATTTCTCCGTACTTTATTTTTCAATATTAAAATAGTTGTGTATTAAATTAAAATAAAATGCATGTATGCTGCAACCAGCAATACAGCTGTACTTATAGGAGTGTGGCCTGATTCCGTTCATTTTAAGTCTGAATTGGAAAATACGAATTTCAAAAACTGAACAAAACGACCGTTTAGAAATTTAAATTTGTGTCGATTAAGATTTTCAGTTCAAATAATCAGTCATTAAATTAAAATAATAAATAAAGGCTTTAATAGTACCTACGTTTTCCAGACACTGAAGAAATACTGTTCAAGACTTTGATATTAGGAACAATTTGTATGTAATTCGTTTGCCGGTATTCATTAAAATGTATGTTCATGTGTATAAAATGTATGCTTTTAGATAATACATTCTATTATCTGGTTATTATACTTATAGGAATAGAGCATAGCTTATAAATTCAAATGTTATACCTCTCTACCCTAGGTAGAAAAAGGAAATATCTACCTACCTTCGATCTATTATCAGGTAAACTATAGTTTTGCCAAGTAAATTATATATTGATTAGAACAATAAGCATAGATAATGTAATTTCCGTGATACCTTCAAGTAATTTTCCCGTTTCAAAATAAAAGAGAAATTCACACGGCACCGAAGGTCAAGTATAAGATGACGCAGGCGCCGTGCGTACAGTTGGTTGGTTTTTGACAGATGTCTGCCTTCGCGGAATGTGCGACGTGTAAAATCGTGTAAATGCAGGTGTGAAGATGAAAACAGTAATAATACGAATAACAGAACAATTAGTTAACTTATTTTTTAGTTAATATTAACAAAATAATGGGGCTGTGGGGTTAAAGAGCGTCGTTTCATAGGACAATATAAATTAAATCTTGTTTATATCATTTGACATTTAAGAATATTAATTTTTGTGAGCAAAAATCTGTGATAAATAACTAGGAAGTGGCAATTTGTGATGTGTAGTGGATAGTTAAATATATTTCTAAAAAATGTTATATGGAAAACTGAGAATTCACACCTGCAGAGTGATACTCCTAACCTCTTTGGTTTGGTTTTTAGTTGATGTGGTTATTTTGTCTTTCTATTCAGAATGCCTCGGGGGCTCTTGCAAGAAAACGGACGACATAAAAGCCGAAGCACTAGGTGATAACTTCGACAATGACTACGACCAAAAAGAAGACCAAAATCTACAGCAACACGAAAGAGCAGGGTACAGTAAAAGGTAAATATAGTTTTATACCTCTTTTTTATAGTTGTAAATCCAGTGGGTATATTTAATAACTTGCTTTCCTTGCCAATTCATTGTCTGCTAAGTTTAATGTACTTTCCATATTTATTTTAACTTTTTTAACTAGGTAAGTACCCTTACTACAAATGATTATTGTTAATTTGGAATAACCAAATGAATTATACATAAAAAGAAATATAATCTTAGGATGGTAATTATTTAGCACCGTTTATCCGTATGTAAATTTTGTAGTAAATAATTTATATAAAATTCAATTAAAAACATCCAATTACCAATCATGTTTGCATCCAGTTTAATCTAATTTTATTTTATAAACATAAAATGTTTCATATTCATAACACGCCTCCTCATTTCCATATATGAATTAATTATTTATAACAGAAATTATTGCTGTCTAGGTATTATTAAATCCTCGGTAAAATCATTAATTAAAACGGATAATTATAGTCGAGATTCACTTAAATTGTTCGGAAAAATTAAGAGTGAAAAGCTAAACGTAAATCCGAATTTAAAACGGCTAGTATGTGTTTGCCAATTTTTTATCTTTTGGCACAAACTTTTAATTAAATTATCTGTTCGACAAAATAATGCCTTGTAGGTGTTTACGATTATCTTTGTTCTACACATGAGTTTTTTTTTTAATTCCAAAGTATTCCAATAGATTACCTAAGACTTATTTCTTTTTTAAAATAGGTACCGTTAAACTAAATTAAATATATATTTTTTACCAATTCTCTAATGCTCTTGAACATTTATCTATGTTTATGTGACTATCTATCACAGAATTAACAGATTTTACTTTGTACCTATCAAACATCAAAGTAAATTGATGATTACATAATTTATGTCCTTAATTGAGTGTCACGTTATAAAGTCTCTAATATTTGTATATTATATTTACATCATTATTGTATTTATTATATGATGAAGGTGGAATATATTTTGAAATTGAGGTGACTATCTACTATACCTATATTGAAATATTTTTTTATTTCCTTATGTCATTCTCCTAGTACTAATAATTCGAAATTTAGTTTTATGAGCCTAAATAATCTCATATGTACATATTTGAATGTAATATTGACTATTATACAGGGTGGTCCGAATTTTATGCAGGAAACTTCGAGGGCAGACATATCTTTTTAAAATAGTAGATGTTTGCCTTATAAACATACGTCCAGAACGGCCTCGTTTTAGATATACAGGGTGTTGAAGTTGTTAAAAAAAATAATTTTTTGTTTATATCTCCGGAATCATCAACCGATTTCAATAAAATTTAGTACAGATAATGTATGATGGTAGGCCTTGTATTCCCTAAAATATGAGCTCTAAAGATTCAACCAGTGGTGTACAACTGGACAGAGTCACCCTCTTTTTTATAAAAAAAAACATACGCCGTGTATTTTTTACAAGCTGTAGTAACGAATTTATATTTTAATGTACAAAATACATAAAAAAGGTAACTTGAATTTTTTCCCCTAAAGTTCACCGTTCTCAGTTATTCATACCAATACAATCCCCTTGTGGCAGACACTTCTAACCATAATATTATAAAAATATTTATGTTCATGCTTAAAAGTAAGTGCAATTTATAAGCACATCAACAAAATTCTTTACACCCATCGCTTTCATCTTTTTGGATTAAAACAATATTTTAGAAAATCACGACTAAGGAATGAAAGCCACAGAAATGAAATTTTAAAAGCATTTGACGACGATAATCGGTTAAGTACCTACACGAAGAACGTCTCGGCAACTTGGGGTGAGTAAATCGAAAATTTGAAAAGTTGCATGGCAGAAATCCGTACCATTTCCAGCCTGTGCAAAATTTACTCCCGGGAGATGCAGAGAGACGCCTGAATTTTTATCAGTGGTTGGTTGAATTCTTACCAGAAATACTTTGGACCGATGAGGCTACGTTCGCAAGGTGAATTTTCACAATCTGGATATTTGATCACAAGAAAATCCTCATGAAATTCGGAGTCATTTCTAAACTTTCTAGAAAATCATCTATTTGAATTATTAGAGGATGTTCCATTAAATATACGACAAAATAGCTGGATACAAATGGCTGGTGCTCCTGCGCATTTTAGGAGAATAATACAAGAATGGCTTAATGAAAATTATATGAGATGATAGATAGGTAGAAGACCAAATGCTAATGTCAACCATAATGGTGCCGAGGGTCCAGTGCCTTGGTCAGCCAGATCGCCAGATCTAAACTCCCTGGACTTCTATGTTTGGGGTGACCTACTTGAAAAGTTTACTCTACTCCAATAGATACTAGACCACAACTAATGCAGCGAATAGAAGACAGGTGTAATGAATTAAAAGAAAACCACCACATGATATTAGCTTCAATTAGTTCCATTAATAGAAAATGTCAGAAATGTATCGATGTGGGTGGTTCGAATTTTAAACAATTGCTGTAAATATTTAACGTTAATTTTGTTTCTTGTTTAGTTGTTGTTGCTTGGTAAAATACGTGTATTTTTATTATTATTTTGATTTAAATTGTTCTTATTTGTAAAGATAATGCCTCCAGGGAAAACTAAAACACACCAGGAACACTACCTCACAAGTGATGTGGAAAGAATTTTGTTGATGTGCTTACAAATTGCACTTACTTTTATGCATAAACACAAACATTTTTGTAATATTATGATTGAAGTGTCTGCCACAAGGGGATTATATTTCTATGAATAACTTGAAAATGGTGAACCTTAGGGAAAAAATTCAAGTCACATTTTTTACTTATGTAGTGCATTAGAATATAAATCCGTTACAATCACTTGTAAGAAATACAGTGGCGTAGGTTTTTTCAATAAAAAGGGGGGTGACCCCTGTCCAGTTGTACACCACTGGTTAAACCTGTAGAGCTCATATTTTAGGGAATGCAAGGCCTACTATCGTACATTATTTGTACTAAATTTTATTGAGATTGGTTAATAGATTCCTGAGATATAAACAAAAAATATATATTTTTTAACAACTTCAATACCCTGTTTCTCTAAAACAAGGCCGTTCCAGACCTATGTTTATAAGGCAAACTCCTATTATTTTAAAGAGATCTATCTGTCCTCGAAGTTTCCTGCATAAAATTCGGACCACCCTGTATATGTCAATTATTCAGATATATGTACAAATAAAAAGCTATAATTTTTCATTTCATACAAATTTTCCTTCCTCTTATTGAAGGATAATAAAAGAAAAAATCTTTACAGACATTTCCTCTAACTGATTAAATATTCTGTAGTGAATGGGAATAATATTAATATGCACAACTGCGTCCGTTTTGTAATATGTACTGCATTTTATACGTTTACATTGTTTATTTGTGTTTATCGTAATCAAAGTAAAACGCTTGTGTTAACAGTTTTTATATTTAAATTTTAATTAGAGGTATAAATCTAAGAAGAATTAAAAGAGCACGGACTTCTATGCTTTTTCATTTTCTAATACTCATTCTCTAATAATCTTTCATTCTCTAATACTTATTATTAGGATGTAGGTGTTATTGTACTACTTTTTATAGCATTAGTTATTTGCGCTTGCTAGGTAAATAATAGTTACTAACGGTAACACTTACCTTAATGTCCTCCATGAATATGCTTAGACATCATTATTATCGGTACAGCAATTCGTTAACAAATTTATATACCTACGTAGTTTTGGGTCATATAAAACGCTTCATTATCGTTTTTCGAGCCATGTAATTATAATTAACCTTCCCGACTTCCTCCTATTTGTTTCTAAATAATAAATCAATCAATCGCTTATACAGTTAAATGTCAGATTACATTTAATACATTCGATTTTTAATAAGAGAACTTAAGTAATTGTATTTCTTTCTCTGGGTACTTAGTTTTAGATACCACGGACTGGATTTTCGAGAAAAATTAAATGCATGAAACCACATCTCGATATTTTGATTCGTTTAAGAGATAGCTGTAGGGCTTTCTTCAAGTTGTGCCTGTTTTCATGGTGCACGATAACTTTTTGTTTGTGAAAATATTGGAGTTTTGTAAAGCAGTTTCCTGATTTCGTTTTTTGCGTTGAATCAGATGGCTGGCGTACGTGATATTTCTCCTCTTATTTTTCAATTACTTTTCGTTAATAATTTATAACAGAAAGTTTATGTTTTTTGAACTAGGATATGGTGTGTGTTTTAATTTACCTAAAATTTTGTTTGAAATGACGTATCATCGAGCATATCCTAATCGAGGGGGAAACGAGTAGGAAACCGCTGGGCGAAACCATCATTTGTACAGTAAAACACTCACGGGTTTATAGAGCAAGCTTGCCATTATTTGTCTTATTGTTTTTAATCTTGCTGTGAATCATCGTATATACAGGGTGGTCCTTAAGTAATTGTACATAGAAGTATGGTAGATTTGTGACTTTCGAGATAATCGAATTTTAAAAATCGGCTGCATAATTCTTTAATTCATTACGAGAAATAGTAACGTAGTAGACGGCAGTCACGAATGATTTTAACAGCTAAACATTCTTGTTTTCATAATCTATGATGTTTGAAAAAGTTTTAGTTGAATATTTCAGATAATTAAGAAATAGCAGAAAATGCCGAGACAATAATTTTTCTAATACAGAAATGAGAGATATGGTTATCTACTATTTACTGTCAACAATATTTCAACGGACGTGCTACGAAATGGGAATATTTTAGAAGATATCCAAACAGGCTGCAACCTAATCACCAAACATTTGAGAATCTATTTAGGAATTTAGGCGAAAGTGGTTTGTCCTAAACGAGATAATTTAGGCCGACCGAGAATCATTACGCCTGATCAAGAAGATGAAATTGGTTCACGTTGCAGATGATCTTCAAGTTAGTACAAGATGGTTATCTTCAGCTTTTGGAATCAGTAAAACTTTTAAAAAGACTAAACCTCGATAAACCATTTTACGCCTGTGCAAAATTTATTGCCAGCAGATTTACCATTAGATACCAA